ATTATTCTAACGACAATATACGACAATTGACACGCAGTGCAGATGATCAGACTTCAGTTTTCCGTAAAATCGGGGGATGGTTCGGGGGACAGTCGACGCTCTAAACCTACGCGTAGTTCGACGGAACACTGATACGTATAGTACGTATGCATGTGTTTAGACCGATATGCAATGTAGAGGCTTTCATAGTGGTATCACAGTTAAGAAATGCAAATTCTGTTAGAGTCTTACTTTTTTATTGTATACCTGTCATGACGATTATTTTGTTATATTTACGATAGTTTATTATAACTTTTATCACTTCGAGAATAAATAACTATTGGTTTCTGATTGCTTCGAATATGAGCATTGTGTCATCAAAGAATTCCTTGTTTCGATTAATTTGTCATTAATTATTTTTGGTTTTTATTAAACACTAATGTACAACAATCTTTGTAAATAATACTCAGTATGAGTTTCTAAGTGGTTAATTTACGAAGAGACCATAATCTTCGTCATACTCTTACCTTGAACCGCATTTTTCATAACTTTCCCATCATTTCCGGGAAAAATGACAATTAAATTTTTTCTTCCTTAGGAAGAAAATCATGCTGTAAAAAGAATTTTTCGTTCTGGCAGTATGCCAAAATTGTCCTTTTTTTAACATCCTTCTTTGAATGTTGAGAAAAATATAAATAGGGGAAAATATTGAATTCTGCGATTGGCTGTAAGCCTGTTCCAAAGGAGATGAAAGTAGTGTAAGGATGTGACATTTAATTAATAAGTTATTGTGAACTTTATAAATTAGGAAATTCAACACTGGGCTGAAAAAGAGTATCCAGTCTAGGATTTGGTTTTACATATTCATTTATGGTTGATACTCGCATCTGGGATTATTCTCACACCACGTGGTTTACTCCACTAGTGAAGTGTACCAAACGGAACAAATTATTCATTTAGATTTTTTTCGGAAAATATACGAGCTATCTCTCATTACGATGGGAAGAGATTCCACCAAGACAATTAGAGAAACATGGCGGATATTAACGAAGGACTGTAATAGGAAAAGAACCAACTAAATTCAACTATATTTTTGTCAGTGATTATTCATTATTAGTAAATGATTGATTAGTAAATTGTTTAAAATATTTAAAATGTAAATAATTTATTTTAAATGTATCATTTTCTTCTCTTTTAAATTGCTTTTTCAACTTTAACTCTTTCTATTCCGGAATCTTCTGTTCCGGACAGGTCATTTAAGGGGTCATTCTAGTGTGACACTATATAAAAATATACTGTTACATTTTGGTAAGCAAATTCCAAGTATTTTGGCTTCTATAGCTGCTTTTTGTAGGAAGCGCAAAGCGTGTTTTGCGTCGCAAAAAGGAAACATAAAAAAAAAAGTTAATTTTAATACTTTTAATATTATTTTATATTCCGTACAAATGCTTTAATAAACCATAAAAAGCTTTATACTATTCCTTTTTGTATTCACTGAAAAAATAGTCATTGAAAATTGCTCAATTCTTCAGCCGTCACACCGGAATGACCCGTTAAAATTTTTTAAGAAATCTTCTTGCAGAATATCTTTTTAAATATACAATTCTAATTATTTTAAATACTATAAACAATGTAGAATCGAAATTAATTTATTTGCCTAAACGTAGCGATTTAGTTGTCTCGTGCTCAAACCCGACTTGAATAAGATTTCTTTGATGTTTTACCACTGTACTTACACAGATTTATATAAAAGTTTGGATAAATCATAGTTTCTCTGAATATTTATAATAAATGTTACACTTCATAAAACTATTTTTCTAATGTAATTTCCAATAATTTTCTAATATAATTCTTACATCCAGCTTAATTTTACTATTATTCGATCAATTACTTTACCTAATACGTCTTTATTATCACGTTTCCCAGACTCGTAAATTCAGTTTTTTAATATTTAATCCAATACACGTTTCTGCCTCGTTTCAGGTGACGTGCCGTACAAGCCATTCGTAACAGGGGAACCTGAAATTAAGACGATTCCTCTGGATGGAACAGAGGACTTCCTGGTTCTTGCCTCTGACGGATTAACAGATTACTTAAAACCCGACGAAATATTGACTATTCTCTACTTCGAAATACAACAAAATCCAAGTGAGTACATGTGTAGTTATTTGTAAGATGGCTTTACGTTAGTCGTTTAATTAAAGGAAGGCTTAAATAATTTTCTCACGCAGGCGATTTAATCGGACTATTTCTTTTTTCTTTCACTTTACTTTCGGAAAAGGTTTCTATTTCCAAATTTACTCCTTTGTTATAAGAAGAAAATAGTATTTATGGTGAACGATGAGTTGGAAAATGATAGATCTATGTAATTGCGATCGATTTGAAGAATTGATTTCGTTTACCCTTACAAAAGGGTAAAATTGTTTCTTCCACTTTCTTCAGCCCCCGAACTCGTAGTTCATTGCCCGATTTCCATTATTAGTCGATATAATAAATGTTCTTGATGAAATTCTTCAATATAATAGTATAGTCAGACCTGTAGAGTAACCGCTTTTTTTTTCGCTACCGTACCGAGTACGAGCTGCGTACTCGCTAGACCCCCCGTGGCCTCAGGTAGCAGACAGCGGCTCGTGCGCCCCCAACCCTGCGAAAAGGCTTGACCCACCCTGATTGGTCGGGTCTCGCCTTCCTAAAACATATAAAAGACGGCTCTTTGCCATAGAAAATCAGTTCTTACGGGAAGCCGACTAAGACTACTCAAGCGTACACCGAGCAGACGTCTCCTTCGCGGATTACAGACGACACTCCTTGTTTTGCGACAGTCAGTACGGAGCGACCGAAGACTCCAGGACCAGGTTTCCTGTCCTGTCTCTACCCTCGCAATCCTCACCTATCTACCTCCTAGAGGCAGACGCTCCTTCGCGGGTCATAGCGACACCTCTAGGTTGGCTCCAACTATCCAAGACACCTTCCCCGAGATAACAGACGTCTCCTTCGCGGGTTACAGACGATAGTTTCTCTCCCTCTCTCCCTCTCTCTCTCTCACTCTAACCTATTCCACCTAAACCCCTCCCCCTCCTTTGGGAGACCTGGCCAAGCCGAACTTGACTCGCGTCAAATTCGCGCACTCTCGCCAACCGTTTTCGAGGCATAATCGCTTCCGTTTAGCTGTAATTCGACCTCACAACCACCAAGTGGGATTTAAATAAACCTCACGCTACAGACTTAAATTTTCTCGATAAGTGTAATGAGTTTTCTGTAATAGTATTTTTGTATCATTATTACAAAAATTTGAATTCTTAAGAGTAATGAGTTTCTCCGATTTTCGATCGAAGAAGTGCCTTAGATATCGAAGAAAGTAATAGTTTGTGCTGAGTACATCAAACGCAATAAATAGGAACAAATTTAATTGGTTGAATTTTGAAACTGTCCTCTGTAAAATATACAGTGAAATGTCGTTTCGTGGTAATTTTACATACTTTGTTACGTATAATATTTATTGTTTAAATAAGTCTTATTCTAAACTGCTCATGATTTTAATATCTGTAATTATATGTATACATGTATATATTTATTTATTTAACTTCGTTGTTGACGTAGTACAGGTACATATTTATATCCAATTGCAGAAACTGTTTGATAAATGATAGTGTAGTAAATAGGTAATGAATATTAATATGTAGCGATAAATTACGATTATTACTAAGCAGAATGGTATTTATAGAAAAGAAGTATTTAAAAGGAAATACTGGATACGGGTCTGCTTATTGTCACTCTACTTTCATTCATTAGAAGAAGTTTCGTTGAAAGTGATGCTACGAATCAGAGCTACGATTTATCTTTGAATGTCAAATACTTTTGATTATGTTAAAATACAGATATTTTTTTCGTTATCGTTTTATTTTTAAATAGGCTTTGTACAAAGTAACATTATATTTTTCCACTAAGTTATGCAAGGCACAATGATTTACCAGTGAATTTCAAATATCAACATTTACATTGTGCTTATACACTACCGTAGTAAGAATCAAGAAAATTATTTGTAGAGCATATCTATCGTGTGTAATATAATGTATCGATATTTATACTTGAAGATATTAAATACGACAGAAGAGTATGACAACTAGCTTTAGAGTTTGTTTATTTTTACCGGCTGAAAAGGCATTAATGTTATATTCAGTTCATTATAAATTATGAAACTTGGGTTTTTTTTTTTTTGCAAGCTTAGAAGCGTGTAGAAATAGGCGTATAAAAGGGATTGAACAAAGAATTTAACCCTTGGTAGGCAAACATATTTTTTCACACTCCGTAGGCAAATTGGATAGTTTGTGTCTAACAACAAGTCCAATTTTTTTACTGTTTTAAGCTTTCGAAAAATCTAAAAAAATTCTAGAGTATTTATCGAAGCTTTTACTGCATTATACAATTGTTCGTTAAGTCAGATGTTTCAACCTTTTTTCGATAAAAATGAAAATTCGTTTCGAAGAAATACGGGAGTGAAATTTCACGGAGTGTTAAAAGAAGTATTTTAATAAGTGTGCGTTCGTTATATTGACAAAATGAATGCGTTGAATTAATACTGAATATATAATTGGGAGAATATGTAAATATAAGAGCACGTTGATTTAGCAAAGTAAAAACTGTATAACAATTTTGCTTTTCACATTTATCCATAATCGCGTTATTCCTTTTTAAGATTTCGCAAATTGCGTTCTTTTGTCAATTCTTTTGCGTATAATTATTGAAGTATAAACAGTTGTATATGTGTATTTCCGGGTGTAGAAGAACTACATTTCCATTGTTACAATCCAATGTTTGTTTAAAGCGTTTAATTACGACACAGTATTTAACACTCTTGAGAATAGAAGAAAACGTGTTATCTTTATTTTTCGAAAGATTCGCCGATTTCTTGAAATTTAGAAAAAAAAATATCTTTCAATCTTAAGAATTGTAATTATTTGGCGCGTCCAATTTATTGTTTCTCGACGGAGAAAATCAAGAGAAAATTATGCATTTCTGAATTTGAGCGGCGTGCTTAGTTATGTTCCATTAATTTGGTTGATCTATTGCCAAGACACGGAGAAAATTTCCGTATCACGAATGGAACAATCGAAGCGAATAATTATAGAGTTGTGATGGAACAGATCCATGCGAAGTTATTGGGGCACGTTAAATTATTATTAATTCAATTAGCTTTGGTTGGCAATACGGAAGAAGATGCTGAGCAGGATACAGATTCACTTATTGTTGTAAAGTAACGTCGTCCATGTTTCCCTCTTTTCTACGATTACTAATCAGATTCAGGTATAATACACTGCTTATTCGCTTTGTGTGTAGTAAAGGGACACTTGCCTTTATTTACCAAAACAGAGATTTATTAAATAGATTGATAAATACTGTATCATTATGATTTTGGAAATTGCCTTCCATTCACTTGACTGAAATAAAAAATTTATCGCGATCATACGATTAGTTAAAAAATTATTAGTTATAACGACGATTGTATCTAGTGTATGCAAGTCTTTTAATTTTTTTATTAATTCTAATAATATGTTTAAAGTATACGTGCTGCTATTTAAATCACCGCTAAAATATATAAGAACATTTTAAAAATTTCAGTGTTCGACGTTTTCAGATAGAATAAGTAGAACAATTCTCAGTATTGCTTTTCTGTGTTTGGTTTAAATAATTACTACGAAATTACTGTATGGCATGATTTATTTATTATAGGTGAAATTATTCTAAGACCGATGCCAAACATCATTCAAAGTGAAAGAATTAAAGAATGACTTATACGTTCGTTATTATTAAATTTTCATTAGAATACCGAATTAAAACTTTATCGAACGCTTACTTTTACTTCTTATCCGAACTAGAATGAATTCCTCTTAAAATGCTCAAGTATTCAGGTCAGTCTTTAAGTAGTTTTTCATAATGATAATATTAAAAGTTTGAACTGTGCGTCATGTTTCTACAGTGCACTAAAATTCATGTCTATGTACCATAAAGCATTTAAAGGAACAGTTGCAGACATTTTGAACTTTCGAAATTGAGATGTAACGAATGTTTCTTTATCGGCGCAGTTGAATTCCATTTTCACCTCCATGCACATTTGTATACGATTATCTTTTGTTAATACAGAGAAATTATTTTTCTCTCTCGCTGAATATTTACCAAAATAGAGAATACAAAAGTTGCAGGCGTTTAAGTAATCTCTGGTTGCCAGGAATTTGTAGCTTTCGATATTGCCGCGAGTGTCGGTCGAAATAGACAAAAGTCGAGCTGCCGATTGTTTGAGAAAGTAAGGTGAATATCGTCTGGCAAAGAATTTCGCGCTGGAAAAGACGAATCTCGTAATGACTCGTACTCTTTATAAGCGGCTGCCAACAAATTGTATCCAGCCTTTCTTCATGGCGCTGTCATGCTCTGCTTCTTATTGCTTCAGGGACGGTGATCGGAATAAATTGCTTGGCACTCGTTTCGTGAACATTCTTTCTTTTCGAAGAAAAATTTCTCTATCTCTATTCTATTTTATTTTATTTACCATGGGAATTCCTCAACGAAAGTTCGTCGACCGTTCTCCTCGGCTCTCAGATCATTTTACGTGCAATACTGGCTGTATTGGCAAATTTTCACATTGGAATTTAAAGATTCTTTGAATTCCGAAAATTCTTCGTTAACAAGATCGGATTCAGATTTAAATCTGAAAATTTATCTAAAAGAAATTCCAAAGAAGGAAATAAGGTGACAAATCCATCGGAAAATTCGTTTTCCGTGGATATAACGAGTCAGCGACTAACGAAATAAAACGAAAAATAGCATTCCGTCTCAACTTGTTAACGAAGCGGAATGGAAGTGAATGCTGATTCGGAGAATCTCGTTGGCAAAGTTTGCCCAATTCCACGATCGAACCGTAATTGGGCCAGTTGCTTTCGGTAAATTGCTCGCATTCCCATTGTCAAGATTCTATTTGAGAGGGTCAAACTCCGGCACAATAGCGATTCCTAGGCCTAATTGCGGGAGCGTGTTGCAGGCACGTGGCGCACGAATACAGTGCGGCTTGCAGCTTCTTCCTCGAATGTTTAGTAGAATTGCAGCTACGGCTGGCATTAAGCGTGTAGCAACCAAAGTCAAAATGGAAATAGAAT